GTTTTTGGTTCAGTTACTCTCGTCTTCGAAATTGTTTGACTATAAAAGAGCACTGGTGTTATCAGAAATTGTAATTTTTTTTGATTTTTTTTTTTTATGTTTTACTACCTACTTTATTTACATCCTTGTTGTTGTTGTTATTATTATTATTATTTTCTTTGATTTCTGGCGTTTACACATTTCTTTCCGGGTCCCGCCCAGGGACCTAAGGTTAGAAATGGCACCATGACACATTCCACTTTAAAAAAAAAATTACATAGATAAAGCCCTTCGTAAAGTGTAGGCTGTACTTGTCAGAACAATGTTTTGCAGCTCCTTGAGGAATGGATTTCCAGGAATCTCGTCAATTAGTCTACTGCAATCTTTTCCAACCAGTCCTAGGGCTCCAACTACAACAGGGATTGTTGATGTTCCCATATGCCACATTTTCGAGATTTCTATTTCAAGGTCCTTGTATTTTGACAACTTTTTGAATATCTACAAAGATACATTGCAGTCAGCAGGGACTGCCATATCAATAAGGAGGCACCTTTTTTGTTTGTGGTCTTTAATAACAATATCTGGGCGGTTGGCCTTGATTGTTCTAGTCCCACAGAATTGTAACAGGTCCTATCTCCGTAAGCGGGTCTGGGTGGTGTTCATACCAGTTTCTTTCAGTTTCCTTCCCGTAGAAGTTGCAGATTTTCCAGTGCAGATATTGGCCCACTCTGTCATGCCGGGTTTTATATTCAATGGGCGCCAACATCGTGCAACCTGACACAAGATGATCAATTGTGTCTGGATATTTCTCACAGAATCTGCATTTTAGGCTGACACAATATTTTAGTATATGTGCTTGATAATTCCTAGTTAGCAAGCATTGGTCCTGCGCAGCAAGGATAAAACCTTCAGTTTCCGCTTTCAACCCTGCACTACGTAGCCACTGATGGGTACGGGTTTTGTTTACGTCAGCTTGTTTGGTACGGGCAGAGTCTTGGCCATGAAGCGGTTTATCTTGCCATCGCTTCTGTATCTGGTCGGTTGCATTCGTCTTTGCTGTCTTTTTTAGGTATTTTGCAGTTTCAGCCGGTGTATTGTGCTGTAGTTGCATCTCTATGCCCATTTGAAACTCCATTTTGAATTTCTTGGCTTCTTTCATTACGGAGTAAAGGCGCTTACTACTTTCATGTTCTTTGATGCATACCATCATCCAGTCTTCTGTAGTTTCCAAATATCTTTGGAGGCCAATTGTTGTAGTTTTGTAGGACAGTTCTAGTTGAACTAATCCTCTGCCTCCTTCGGATCTGGGCACATACAGACGATCAACATCAGCTTTGGGATGATGCATGCGATAGGAAATGAGAAGCTTTCTCGTTTTGGCCTCCATTCGCTTAATTTCAGCTATGGTCTAGTTAAGGACATTAAAGCTGTATTGCATCACAGGGACAGCCAATGTGTTTATGGCTGATATTCTGTTTTTTGAGTTTAGCTCAGTATTTAGTACCAGACGTACACGCCTGTAGTACTCTTTTCTTATTTTTTCCTTCATTTGGGGGTGTTATATGCCATCTCCTTCGCTAATTCCTAGGTACTTATAAGCTTTATCATGCTCCAGTTCCCTAATCTTTGTGACAAAATCTAAATTTATTGAGGGTGTTTCTGTAATTCTACCTTTCTTGAAAGTTACTTTTGCACATTTATCTAATCCGAAGTCCATACCTATGTCGTCACTGAAGTATTTTACAATATTGAGGAGGCCTTTCAACTCATTGTCGTCTTTGGCAAAGAGTTCGAGATCATTCATGTAGAGTAGGTGATTGAATATTTTCTTATTTATTTTGTAATCATAAAGTTGTTCAGTTCATGTGTAAGAGGGATTAAGGATAAACAAAACAGAAGGGGTGACAGAGAGTCTCCTTGAAAGATTCCACGTCGGATATTCAGACGGTTGGATATGGCAGTGCCCCCGGTGTGACTAAGATATAGTTTGGTGTTCCACATTCCCATGCTGTGCTTAAGGAAATTTAATACCTTAAAGACTTTGTACATTTCCAAAGTCTTAAGGGTCCAAGAATGTGGAACACTATCAAAGGCTTTACGATAATCAATCCACGCTGCACTAAGATTTCTGCGTCGTCTTCTGCAATTTTCCAGGATCATTTTATTTATAGGAAGTTGATCTTTGCAGCCATATGAACTTCTTCTGCATCCCTTCTGTTCCAGCGGCAGAATGCTGTTTGTTTCGAGAAAGGAATAAGTACGGTTCGTCAGTACAGACATGATCAACTTATACGTTGTGGAGAGACATGTTATCGGTCTATAATTTTTCGGGTCGTCTGTTTCAGTTGTTTTTCGTATGAGGTGTGTAATACCTTCAGTAATCCATTCCGGGATTTTATTGCGATTATTTACAAGCGTTGATAATGTTTTTGCAAGAATTTCATGGGTGAATGAGAGATGATACAGCCAGAAATTGAGCAACTTGTCATTTCCTGGGGATTTCCATTTTGGGGATTTCGTTAGAGCTTGCCTAACATCATCTGTGGATCTATTTTCCCATTCTTGCAGAGGTGTATCCAGCAGTCGTCCTTCTTCACGCCGTATCCATTCTGCATTTGGGTTATATTCCTTTGGGCTGCTCCAAATATTTTTCCCAAAATATCTGTACATTATCAATCGATGGTGGCCTTTCGACATGTATAGATGTTTTTCCAATTTCCCTGTAAAATTTCTTAAGATCTGTTCGGAATATTTTATTTTGGCGATAGAACCTACAACGTTTTTCGTATCGTCTTGTTCTCTATGCCTTTAGATGAAGTTTCTGCTTCAGCATTTCCTTGATTGATGGAATATCAATTAGGGATTTAATGTTATATTTCCGCTTGATCGTCCACCTCATCCTCTGTTGCATTCCTTATTTCTACATTCGTCTCAATAGAGTTTGAGTGATGGGTCATAGTATTTTGTCTTGTATATCTAATTTTATCTTATCTATTTCTGCCTTTGAGAGTCTGTTGTTTCGCATGATGTCCCTACGGACATTGGTGGTTATTTGTATTGAGGTTAGGTCTTATATCATTTCCCACCGTACTTCTCCATATTCATATCGTTTGATTGGTGGTGTTCTTTGCTGGGTTTTCGAGTGCAGTGAAGATCTGATGTCATGACTTGTCGATACTCTTCGCGGCTAATTTCGTTCGTTTATTGTTTTATTAATCGATTTAGTATTGAGTCACTTTGGTCCAAGGTTGGCAATAATCCGGGTTTTTGACCTAGTGTCTCTTCGTGTTTGGAAGAGTTTGTTCCAGTGACAGACTTTTCGTCCTCAGACTGGTTCCTCTCTGAGGACGCGGCCTTTTGTCCCGGTTGACGGCCGATCCGGTATGAAATATTATTCGTATTCATTGAAATTAGTAGAGATGCGTTTTAACCTTCACCGCCAAGGGGTAATTATGTTCAGGTTACCAGCTTTAGAACGAGTCTCGAAGAAGATCCAAGAGCACGCCTAACCAATGAGATTGTGGATTTATTAATATATGGAAGGTAGAATAATTCATAAGAGTGTATGGTATTCAGTAGGGTAGACGATACTAAGTTTTAACTTAGTATAAGTCGGAGTGACTACTCCAAGGGGGATAAATAGATTTTAGTACATAGACTTAAAAAAAAAAAGGGAAAGAGAAAAGGGAACTGAAAAGGAAAGAATTAACTTGAGTCAAAAGAATTTAGAATATTATTATTATTATTATTATTATTATTATTATTATTATCATCATCATTATCATTATTAATATTATTATTATTATTATTATTATTTCTGCTATGGACACACTACCTACCAAGTCTGCGGAAAGACCTAAGGCAGGTCGTGGTGTGTTGTTATGCCCACATTTCATGTTAATTTTTTTTTTTTTTTTTTTTTTATCTCCGATGAAGTTGCTAGCGTTACATAAACAAAGTTCTCCTTAGTGTGTGTGCTGTACTTAATAAAGACAATTTTCTGTATGTCTCTTAAGCTGGGGTTTCAGGGATTCTTTCAATGTGTTGTTTTTGTTCCATTTTTATAATTCCAAGTGCACCTATTACCACTGGTATTATTCTTGTTTTCAATTTCCACATTTTTTCTATTTCAATTTCCAGGTCTTTGTATTTTGATAGTTTTTCAAATTCCTTGGTTGCTATGTTACAATCCGCTGGACAAGCCATATCAATTAGTAGGCAAGTTTTTTCTTTCTGGTTTTTGACAATAATGTCCGGCCTATTTGCTTCAATTTTCTGTCTGTGTGGATGGTATAATCCCATAGAATGGTGACATCTTCTATTTCTGTAACCGGCGCTGGCCGATGTTCATACCAGTGTTTGCTTACACATTTTCCAAAGTGTTTGCACATTGTCCAGTGTAAGTATTGCCCCACTCTATCGTGACGATTTTTATATTCATTTGGGGCAAGTATAGAACATCCTGAGATTAGATGGTCTATTGTTTCTTGGTATTTGTCACAGAACCTGCATTTTGGATCCACATTATTATGTATGATATTTGCCTGAAAATTCCTAGTGAAAAGACTCTGGTCTTGCGCTGCAAGAATAAAGCCTTCAGTTTCAGACTTTAATCCAGATGCTCGTAACCATCGATGAGTATTAACTTTATCAACATTGGGTTTATTTGCACGTTCTGGATATTGGCCATGCAG